CAGCCAGGACCTCATGCCTGGAGCTCCTGGGGTAGAAAGGCAGTTTCTTTGACTGGCTGCGGATCTTGTCCTGGGAAAAGAGGAAGGTGAGCCCTCTGTTCTTGGCTATAACCAAGATCTTTCCTGACTTGTTTCCTATTGCAAAGTGAATCACTCTTGAAGTAGGTCAGCAATGCCGCAGTCATCTGTCTCTTTCCAGGCTCTACCACTTCGAGATCATATCACTGACCCTTGTGTCTTTCTTCCCAAAGCCATCAGAGACAGGTTTACCAAAACATTTACCTCCTGTTTCCTACTTCATACAATGCTAAATACTAACAACATGGGGCTCTGAGGCTGCCTGTTTTGGGATTTACTTGACTGACATCTCTATAAGGCATTTAGTTTTAGTTTCCCACAACAGTAACACACAAGCAACTTTCATTCTCCTTTTCTCAATTCCTCCTTTCAATTTAACAAGCTGCTCTCAAGGTAGGTTCTAAAATGAGTCCTTGGTATGCAGAAAATGTGGTAATGCTATTAATTTAAATTCCATCAAGTGATATGTCATAATTTATTTAACTATTCCCCTCTGGTTGGACATCCAGATTATTTTTGCTATTTGATTTTATAATTACCCACTGTAAAGGATATCTTTATGCATAAAAGTTTTTCTGTATTTAGGAAAATGTGGGATTCCTCCTTAACTTTCTAGAGTTTTCAGTACCACTAGCATGTAATAATTGTGTACTGCTGAGCCTGAAAGTGTAGAATAATAATATTTAACACCTGCCCCCCTTTTCCCCCCTCTGCTTAGTTTTCTTTGAATCTCTGACCTCTGTAAAATGCCAGTGAATTCCATTTTCCACACTATCATTGCCATTTCTTCCCCATGGAGACCTCCCTCCTGGAGGTATTTGTCTTCCTACTTGGATCTGTACTGATTTCTTTCTAGACCTACTACACAGCAGTCATCTATGCACTCCCCAGTTTCCTGGATCTGATGGCTTACTCTTTCGTCGTTTACTCTCTTATTTTGCTGGAGTGTATCCTCTAATGTCATCATGCAAAGAAGTGTGCAAAGAAGATAAACATTGTGATACTATGCATGTCTAAATATATCAAAGTTAAAAAACATTTTTGAATTTTGAATTTTGAGGACAATGATCCATTGTCTTCTAGCATTCAGTGTTGTGGAGAAATTCAATTGAATTCTAACTCTCAATCTTCTGTTTGTGGTATTTTTTTTTCTTTGAAAGCTTCTAGAATCATCTCTTTTTTTGGTGTTCTGAAATTTCAAGTTGACATGTCTTAGTGTTGCTGTTTTTTAAATTCATTATCTTGAGCACTCAGTATGCTTTTTTAAATTGAGATACAACTGACACATTAGTTTTAGTTGTACAACATAATGATTCCATAATTGCATGTTCAATATGTGTTTTTATTTTTTATTTTTTTTAGATTTTTATTTATTTATTTGAGAGAGAGAGAGCATGAGAGAGAGTGAGAGTGAGAGCACATGAGCAGCAGGGAGGGGTAGAGGGAGAAGCAGACTCCCTGCTGAGCAGGAAGCCCCATGAGGGACTCAATCCCAGGTCGCTGGAATCATGACCTGAGCTGAATGTAGACATTTAACCGACTGAGCCACCCAGGTGCCCTCAATATGCACTTTTAAACTGGAGACTTGGCCTTTCTTTTTCTTTCTTCCTTTCTTCCTTTCCTTTCCTTCCTTCCTTCCTTCCTTCCTTCCTTCCTTCCTTCCTTCCTTCCTTCCTTCCTTCTTTCTTTCTTTCTTTCTTTCTCTCTTTCAGAGATTTATTTATTTGAGAGAGAGAGAGCATGAGCAGGAGGGGTAGAGGGAGAGGGAGAAAGAATCTCAAGCAGACTCCATGCTGAGCACAGAGCCTGCTGCGGGGCTCTATCTCACAACCCTCAGATCACGACCTGAGCCTAAACCAAGAGTTGAACGCTTAACCAACTGCGCCACCCAGGTGCCCCATTGACCTTTATTTCTGGGAAATATTCTTGTGCTATTTCCTTGATAATTTTGTTCCCAATGTCCTCTCTTTGGGGAACTCTTTTAGTTAGATGTTGAAACTCTCAGATTAATACTTTAATTTTGTTATCTTTTATATTTTACCCTCATTTTTAATTTCCCAAATCACCTTTTGTTTCTAATTTTTCTCCCTCTCCCCTTTCATTTCTCTCCTTTCCCTTACTTCTGAGAGAATTTCATTCTTATTTCATGGGATTAAAATCTTATCTCCCTGATAAAATTAATTTACTTTTTAAAATTTTCTTCTACCATCTGCATTATCTGTTTCCGCTGAGTTCTTTTTCTTCCCCTTCGGTTTATTTGTTTTGGCCTCTGTCTTTATTGTTGGAAGCTTTCCTCGAAGATCTGGTGATCCTTGGATGTTTGTTCAGGTTTTTAAATGAATCACTGCAAAGCTGATTGGAAACTCTGTGTGAGTGGGCAGGTCTTGTTAGCTTGTGGGCTTATTTTTAGATTGAGGAGGTAGTCAGCCAGCTTGTGGGTGTGGGTGTGGGTGTGGTCCCCCAAATGTCAGTATGGGTAGGCATTTTCTCTGTAGCAATTTAGTTTATCCGGAGAGAGCCTCTAATCTGCTGCCTGAGAAGGATAAGCCTGGCTGGTGGTGCTGTACCACAGGGTGAGGTAAGGGACTGAGGAGTCTCATAGTTCAGTAGGCAGTCTTTCATTAAAGCCTCACCCTGCCCTCTTCCTGCCTGGTGCTCCCCCAAAGCCTCTCAGGTTGTTTCTCCCCAGTAAAGTACTTGTGGGAGTTGGGGAGGGGTGGGTGCCTGACTGATGGGAGTGGAGGAAGGCTTGTGGGGCTAACTGCTTCTTTTCAGACACCCCTCATTGCTTTCAGTGCCCCATTCCTACCACTGCCTTCTAGGGGACAGGCTTCAGTTGCTAAGCCTTTCTGGAGTGAGTTGTCTTGCTTCTTAAGAGCATTCTCCAACAAAGTTTGGCCTTTTTCTGCTCTGCTAATTTATTTATTTTTAAAGTTTTTAATGGTTTTATTTATTTATTAGAGAAAGAAAGAGAGAGAAAACACGATTGGGGGAGGGGAGGGGTAGAGGGAGAGGGAGAAGCAGACTCCCAGCTGAGTAGGGAGCCCGACATGGGGGCTAAGCCACCCAGGTGCTCCAACCTCTCTGCGAATTTAGTTTCTGTTCCTCCACCTGCTTTTTGTCTTCATGTGCTGTGGGTTGGGGCTACAGATATTTCCTAGTCTTGTTGAAGATGGGGTTTGTGTTTCTGTTTCTCGTTCTGACTGTGTTTGGAGATTTTCAAAAAAAGAGGCTAGAAAGATCAATGCTCAGCCATCTTGATTCTGGAGATTATGGAGGTGACATCATCCTAGCATTTGCCTTGATCACCACTATCCAAACTTACTTGCAAAAAATACAAGTATTTTGAAGGCAGATCTGTCTGCCTATACTCTGCTCAGTGGCAATGCCAAGTAGTGTTATGCCTAGTTATATTGGAACCTGAAACAAAAGAGAAAATTAGTAATACTGATCCTATCTTTTTTTAAAGTTTTGATATTTTGGGGGTGCCTGGGTGGCTCAGTTGTTAAGCATCTGCCTTTGGCTCAGGTCATGATCCCAGGCCCCACGTCGGGCTCCCTGCTCAGCGGGGAACCTGCTTTTCCTTCTCCTGCTCCCCCTGTTTGTGCTCCCTCTCTGTCTCTCTCTCTGCCAAATAAATAAATAAAATCTTAAAAAAAAATAAAAACAAAGTTTTGATATTTTGTTCATTATGGGGGTGTTTGTACCAAATTTGTGTTTTAAAAATATTGCATTGAGGTATTATTTGTCTTGATTACTGAGTTTTTAAATTTTACACTCTACTTGAGTGACTTACTTGCTTCACTCTAATCCTGGTGGGGGGGAGGGAAGTGCATCACATTCCTTTTTTTTTTTTTTATAGATTTTATTTATTTGAGAGATAGAGTGAGCGAGCAAGAGAGAGAGAGAGCACACATGAGCAGGGGCAGAGGGAGAGGAGAAGCAGGCTCCCTTGCTGAGCAAGGATCCTGATGCAGGGCTGGATCCCAAGACCCTGGGATCATGACCTGAGCAGAAAGCAGATGCCTAACCAACTGAGCCACTCAGGCGCCCTGGGGTATCACATTCTTCATCAGCTGCTGTCCCCACCATAAACCACTACAAATAAACATAGAATCTAAGTAAAAGCAGCCTGTTTGCTATGCAAACTTTCAGCTTCAAGGAAAATCCCACAGTGAACTTCCAACCCATTTGCCTTCCTTAGAGCTCCATAGTTACTCTTGAATTCTCTCCTTTGTTCATAGCAATGGTAGGTCCCTTCTAGAAAATATAGGGCTGTGTCAAAGTGAGTTCCTCCTAGTATAATTGAGGTATCCGAGTTTTACTGATAAATGTTGCAAAATGTAAAAGGACAGATGTGGCACTGCCATAATAATGAGGTCCACAGCTTTTTTTACTAAGATGCCATGACATCAACAGAATCAGAAGCATTTCTTCTATATTTTCTGGGTGTTTTTTGCTAAAAACCTTGAGATGAAATAAAAGAAGTAAAAATTCTTCGGGTATTTCTATACCCATTATTAAATATGGACAAGTGTCAGAAAAGGATCCTCCCTTCTTTTTTTTTTTTTTTAAAAAGCTTTTATTTATTTTAATTTGAGATAGAGAGAGGGAATAAGCTGGGGGTGGGGAGGGGTAGAGGGAGAGAGAGAGAGGCAGAGAGAAAGAGAAGCAAACTCCCCACTGAGCAAGGAGCCCAGCTCAGGGCACGATCCCAGAACTCAAAGATCATGACCTGAGCCGTAGGCAGATGCTTAACCGACTGAGCCACCCAGGCGCCCCAGGATCCTCCCTTCTTAATTACAAGATTTTTGTTGGCTAAGTGGGAGATGGAGGAGGAAGGTGTTTTGGCTATGGAGCACTATGATGCAATGAGAGTGAATTTTTTAATTCTTTTTTATTCTTGTTTTAATTAGCTGTGGTGATGTAGGCGAGTCTTTTAGACCACTGCGCATTGCCACGTGAAGAACAGTCATGTTAAAGGTATGGGGCAGACAAATTTTCCTTTCTCCCCTTTTATGTTCTTCGGCTGGTCTGATAATCAAGTTGACATAAGACAGATTAACAGAACAAAAAGAAGTTAAATTTCCTATATGCCAGAGCCCCAAAGATCTGAGACTCAAGGGCCTGTCAGGGAGTTGAGGCTTACATGCCATCCCCAGCTGAGGAATGGGATAGTGGCCCGGGGCTTCAAAGGGGAGGAGGGTAATTCACAGGACGATAAGAAAAGCCTGTTTTGTAATTAACTGTCGTCCTGCCACACAGGTAAGTCTTCCGGTAATAGCTCCCTTTCTGGACCAGGCCCCCTATCAAAATTCTTTTAGGTAGTTGAGGGGGGGGTAGAAGTTTGTCTTGGGTCTTGACTGACTTCAGCTCAAAATCATCCACATGCCAAAGTGGCACATTTTGGGGTGGCATATTCTGCTCCCCTTCAGTCCTGCCTTTGAAACTTCCCCAAGAAATTTCATAGTCTAGAAGTTGGATTGGTAGATTGTTCCATCTCATCGAACTAGTCTGTTCGTCCTGAGGGTAGGTCACTTCACTTAGTTGTGTCTCATTTCAGGAAGCAGAGATGTGGGGGGCTCCCAAAGTTGGACCTGTGGTTCAAACAATCAGGTATTTAATAGAAGACATTTCTGTGGAAACAAAAGAAAAACAATGGTTAGTAATTGGAGCAGATTATGATCTCAGAGTCTGGGTTCTGAAGGCAGCCAATCGAGAAGCTTACTAGATGTCTGGCTTGAAGCATCTTCAGATGGATACGGGCTGGCGGTGACTCTCCTGGTTTGTAGTTTGAATGCCTGTAGTGATCTCTCTGAGTAGCTGCACAGCAACAGGCATGAAGACTGTCCATGCATGAGGTGTTGTGGCGGTTTCTCTGAAGTTTATAACAGGTTGTTCAGCTTTAGCTTACATGGCTTTGGGGAAAAGGTGGTTTTAGTTTTCAATGGTTCCCAATCAGAAGGGTGAGAGGAAATTGAAAATGTTAGTTTGGAGATTTGTGGCCATATATTGGAGGAAACTAGAAGAGTTCAGGATCTAGTCCAGTGTAGAGGATCCTTTTCTGACACTTGTCCATATTTAATGAATAAAGACAATTAATAGCACTAGAATTTTATATCCACAAAGGTGTTTTACTGAAACATAATTTTTCTCTCCATAATCACTCCCACTTTTATCAAAGATAACCACAGTGGGGCGCCTGGGTGGCTCAGTTGGTTAAGCAACTGCCTTCGGCTCAGGTCATGATCCTGGAGTCCCAGGATCGAGTCCCACGTCGTCGGGCTCCCTGCTCGGCAGGGAGTCTGCTTCTCCCTCTGACCCTCCCCCCCTCATGCTCTCTCTCTCTCTCATTCTCTCTCTCTCAAATAAATAAAATCTTGAAAAAAAAAAAGATAACCACAGTAAGACTAATTTGTTTGCAAATTAAGTCTAGTTTCAATAAACTTGGCCTGATTATTTATATAAGTGCAGCAAGAATAGTGATTTATCTTATAGGCTCTTTTAAATCTGCTTTGCTGGAAATTTTCATATGGAATCTCAGATTGGACTTTTATTTATTTTTATTTGAGAGAGTGAGCGAGAGAGAGAGCACAAGAGAGAGTGAGCACAAGCTGGGGGAGAGGCAGAGGGAGAGGGAGAAGCAGGCTCCCCACTGAGCAGGGAGCCCAATGCGGGGCTCTATCCTAGGACCCTGGGATCATGACCCAAGATGAAGGCAGACACTTAACTGACTGAGCCACCCAGGCGCCCCAGATTGGACTTTTAAAAGCCTCTTAAGGCTAGAAAGCCAAGCCACATACTCACCATCTGACTTCACCTGCAATACCTATAGATTTGAGTAAATTACTTCCTTTTCAAGGTCCCCAAAATATTCTGAGGTTTCTGAGACTGCCAGGAAGTGGCCTTCCTTACTCACCTGGTAAGGCTGTCAGGAGCTCTGTAAGCAAGGTATCAGGCCAAGTTTTCCAAGGGGCTTTGTTGGCTCCATAAAGTCAACCTTAGTCCCTTAAAGCTGTCTGGTCATATCTGATTCCATGCACATTCTCAAAATAGACATTCCAGCCAAAGCCTTGGTAATATAAGCAATATTTCCATTTCTGTCTTGTAACAAGGACAACAGACTCTTACTGAATTTATGCAAGTAACTATATTGCCATGAAAAGAGGACTCAAGAGTTTCTGAGTTCTGGGGGATCAGCTAGGGAGAAAGGGTAAATGCTTCATCTTTGTTACAAACGTATATTTACCAAACTGCTATAAGTCATAGATCGCTTAAGATTAAAGGTTTCCTTAAATCTGGAAAAACAAGACATTAAGGAACCAGCAATGTTTCAAACAAAAAGTCATAAAAAAATTATAATCATCCTCCTTAGTTCATTCAGTGCCGTTTAATTAATTTTTGCTCTGCTTGGTCCAGGTTTTTTATTAGTTTTGGAAATTCTTATCCAATTCAGTTTATGATCAAAGAGTTATCAGAAACCTGTACTTGTCAAAGTTCTTTCCATGAATCTCCTTGAAGATGAAGAACTCGCAGGAACACTATTACAAAAGCATCAGAATAAAACAATTGTAAATGACAAAAGACCTAAAAATGGCCATGGTTAAAGATCTGATGAGATTTCATTATAATGCAATTGACAAGGAAATGTATTTCTTTGATATACATTTTAAGATAATAACTAGAATTATGATAATATTATACCAGAACATATCAGATTTCTAGGCATTTCATACAAGATCAGGAATGCTTATATTAATAACATATATCCACGCAAATATAATCTAAGAAGATTTAGCATCAGTTTTTTGACAGTGCTTCCCATTAAATTTAACATAACAGATAAGCCTAATTAGTGTCACATCTCTCTTTCTGTTAGGAGAGAAAACAAATCTTTGAGATGTTCCAGGAGCCCTTTGGAAAATCCTGAAGTTAGTTCAAGGTCAAAAAGACTTCATTTAGAATTTGATTTTCTGAAGTTTTTCAAAAATATCAAAAAGTTTTAGAACATTTCTTCAAGTAGGATCATAGATTACTATGAAATAATACTTTGTCACCCATTTAACCATAGTGACAAAGATTCTGCAGAGAAATACAAAAGAAAATTAAATAGTTGTTAAAAAAAAAAGCTTAACTCTTTTTTTTTAAATTTTTTTTTATTCTTTTGTTAATCCCCATACATTACATCATTAGTTTTAGATGTAGTGTTCCATGATTCATTGTTTGTGCATAACACCCAGTGCTCAATACAGAATGTGCCCTCCTCAATACCCATCACCAGGCTAACCCATCCTCCCACCCCCCTCCCCTCTAGAACCCACAGTTTGTTTTTCAGAGTCCATCGTCTCTCATGGTTCGTCTACCCCTCCGATTCCCCCCCTTCATTCTTCCCCTCCTGCTACCTTCTTCTTCTTTTTTTTTTCTTAACATATATTGCATTATTTGTTTCAGAGGTACAGATCTGAGATTCAACAGTCTTGCACAATTCACAGCGCTTACCAGAGCACATACCCTCCCCAATGTCTATCACCCAGCCACCCCATCCCTCCCACCCCACCCCCCACTCCAGCAACCCTCAGTTTGTTTCCTGCGATTAAGAATTCCTCATATCAGTGAGGTCATATGATACATGTCTTTCTCTGTTTGACTTATTTCGCTCAACATAATACCCTCCAGTTCCATCTACGTCATTGCAAATGGCAAGATCTCATTCCTTTTGATGGCTGCATAATATTCCATTGTATATATATACCACATCTTTTTTTTTTTTAAAGATTTTATTTATTTATTTGACAGAGACAGCGAGAGAGGGAACACGAGCAGGGGGAGTGGGAGAGGGAGAAGCAGGCTTCCCGCAGAGCAAGGAGCCCGATGCAGGGCTCGATCCCAGGACCCTGGGATCGTGACCTGAGCCGAAGGCAGACGCTTAACAACTGAGTCACCCAGGTGCCCCTATACCACATCTTCTTTATCCATTCATCTGTCGATGGACATCTTGGCTCTTTCCACAGTTTGGCTATTGTGGACATTGAAAGGCTTAACTCTTTTAATAGAGAAGATTCAGCTTGCTTGCTTGCTTGCTTTTCTTTTTTCTTCTTCTTTCTTTTTTTTTTTTTTTAAAGATTTTATTTATTTATTTGACAGAGAGAGACACAGCAAGAGAGGGAACACAAGCAGGGGGAGTAGGAGAGGGAGAAGCCGGCTTCCCGCTGAGCAGAGAGCCCGATGTGGGGCTCAATCCCAGGACCCTGGGATCATGCAGACGCTTAACCGACTGAGCCACCCAGGCACCCTCTTTTTTTTTTTTTAATAAGACTCTACTTTGGGGACACCTGGGTGGCTCAGTCAGTTAAGTGTCTGCCTTCAGCTCAGGTCATGATCACAGGGATGGAATCCTGCATCAGGCTCCTTGATTAAAATGGAGCCTGCTTCTCCCTCTGCCTAACACTCCCCCTGCTTGTGCATGAGCTCTTTCTCTCTCTCTCTGACAAATAAATAAGTAAAATCTTTAAAAAAAACCAAGATTTTACTTTTAAGTAATCTCTACACCCAGTGTGGGGCTTGAACGTACAACCCCAAGATCAAGAGTTGCATGCTCTACTGACTGACCTAACCAGACACCCCAAGGTTCAGCTTTTTGAAGCAAAAATTGAATAAAGACAACATGAGAAATTATTTTGACAAAAAGAATCTTTGTTTTTTAGACAGATTATTTTAATATGTAAAGAAAAACATTTTATAATTTCCTATTAAGAGCAGGCCATTAGTCTAAGAAAATTGTCCTTTTAACAGAGAGAAAACTAAATTCTAATTTAGTACCAGCTTACTTTTCATATTGAAATTCATTCACTTAATTAAATTCATTTCAATCTTAGCCAGTCCTGGCCATGCATAAAATTTCTTTCTAAAGATTCCTTTTCCACAAACCTTCTACAATTTTTCAGATTTTATGTTTTTCCCTCTTTCCCATTTTGAAATTGCCATTCTCTCTTAGGACAAAATTACTTTCTTTTCTCTTAACAAAAATCCATTTCTCTTCCTCATACCTCTTTTATTGAAAACACACACACATACATACACACAGATATATACACATACACAAGAAAACACACATTCTACTTTACTTGCATCCCTAGATATTTACCCTATTATTTCTAGGAAGTTTAATTACATATATTGGAAATTTTTTTACAAGAGGTAACATTTTAAAAATGTTTTAATTCCAGTATAGTTAACATTCAGTGTTATATTAGGTTCAGGTGTATAATATAGTGATTCAATAATTCTATATATTACTCAGTGCTCATCATAATAAGTGTACTCTTTAATCCAATCACCTATTTCACCCATCCCCCCACCGGCCTTCCCTCTGGTAACCAACAGTTTGTTCTCTATATTTAAGAGTCTGTTTTGGGGGCCTCTGGGTGGCACAGTTGGTTAAGTGTCCAACTCTTGGTTTCCACTTGATTCATGATCTCAAGGTCATGAGATTGGGCCGCACATCGGGCTCCACACTCAACACAGAGTCTACTAAAATTTCTCCCTCCCTCTCCCTCTGCCTCTCCCCTCGCTTGCTGTCTCTCTAAAATAAATCTTTTAAAAAAAAGTCTTTTTTTTTTAGTTTGTCTCTTTTTTTCTTTGTTCATTTGTTTCATTTCTTAAATTCCACATACGAGTGAAATAATGGTATTTGTCTCTCCATGTCATTGCAAATGGCAAGATTTCATTCTTCTCCATGGCTAATATTCCACTGTGTGTGTGTATGTATATATATAATCTCTTTTTTATCCATTCATCTATTGATGGACACTTGGGCTGCTTCCATATCCTGGCTATTGTAAATAATGCTGCTATAAACATAGGGGTGCATATATCTTTTTGAATTAGTGTTTTCATATTCTTTGGGTAAATACCCAGT